GCCAAGTTTATTTAACACTGAGTAGTCTCAAAGTGGAGGACACAGCCATTTTTTTACTGTGGGAGAGGCACAGTGAAGGGAAGATAGTGTGAGTTCAGACACAAACCTCCCTGGATGAGACAGGAGGGTTGCAATGCAAGGGTTGCTCAGGTCCCAGGGATTGAGTATGCACAGGTAATATTGAGGTTAAGTTTTACTTTCATCTCCAACCAGGAGCTTCCTCTCCATCCGACATTCCACATGTAGATACCTAAGGAAGCAATCGCTATGATGAATCTAAAGTGGATGCTTCTCCTCTATCTAAATGCACCGGGCAGATGCATATTGTCTCTCACTTGGAACTCTTCCCTTAAATACCTTTGTTGTGACTGTTGGTGTTTGTTTTAGTTTGATTGGACCACAAGGTGCCCAAAGATATGGCTGAAAGTTATTCCTGGGTTTGCCGATAGTGTGTGTAAGGGTAAATTATACCTTTGTATTGGTATCTCAGAAAAACAGATTGTTTTTCCCAATACAGGTGGACACCCTCCCTTACACTGTGGGGCTGATTGAAACAAAGAGTGAAGGGGGGAATATTAAGCCCCTCTTACCTGTGTGTTGGGTTCTGCAGCTGGGACAGGGGTCTTTTCCTGTCCTGGAAACCCTGGTCCTCAGCTGTCATTCCAGGGTGAGTTATGACAGCAGGTATCCTGGGTCTGCTGTGCAACCCCCTCCTTGTGGGACACTGGAAGTCCCACTTTCTATAGCATGAGCACCAATTTCATATAAATGTAAATATCCTTTTTTTGGTCTCTTTCTCTGGAGGACCATGACCTATGCTATCATAAAGCAGAGGGCATTCAAGCTTAACCGAGATTGCCCATCAGAGACCACACATGTGTTTCTTTGAAACAGTACTGGGCACTCAGTGAACAAAGGGAGGATCCCATTAATGTCATGTTACAATTTGCAAAGCTGTTGCATAATATTCCATGTGTCCTTGATCTGTTGGGCTCATTGAAAATATCTGAGCCTCATGAAGATTCAGATTACTGAGGGTGGAATAAAGCATTACTGTGTGACATCAGAGTTCATGGAGACTTCAGCAGATTAAGTTGAGGACAAGCCGCAGCACACCAGTCTTCAGTCATTGACACTGACTTGGAAATGATTTTTCTCCATCTTCACCTTGGACAATAACTGACTGCAGTTTACCTTTTATGTGGGGAAGTTCCAGACATACATTTACTGCAAAAACAACAACAACAAAAAGATTTATTTGACTCATCAGATTACTGTGTACATTTGCTAAGGAGAATATTTGCCCCAGTGGGATAATACATGAAATTGACAATATTGACATAGAAGATAAATATGCAGTGCCTACAATGAAATGTTAATATACATAACTGATGCATGCTTGATAAATCCAGCACAGATCCCTGGTCTTGTGAAAATGGGAACTTTCTCAGTGTTCTCCTAGGTAGGAGCCACCTGTGACATTCCTCAGACAATGAAAACAAAAACGGATGCTTTCCTCTGTCCCTGGAAGGAAGTGAGAACTCAGTCTCTGACAGGCTGCTAGATTTGAGGACACAGAGTTCCCATGTGGAAAGCACAGCTCCTCCATGACTGACCCTAGAGAAGACCACCTTTGAAAGGGAGTATGGATAACAAATAGTTATGTCTGCATTGTCACTTGTGACTCTTTGTTCAGTGCAGGAATGTCCATGAGGGTTGAACCTGAGACCCAGGTGCAAGAAGAGATGGTGGCTCCTGCACCTACTAACAGGTGCAGCTGTGGGTCATTGAGCAGAGAGTCTGTCTCCACCTGAGATGCTGGGATTTGAGGTCTATAAGGCAGGTGGTAGAAGGAAAGATAATTAGCAGAATGGAGCACCCAGAAAGGTAAAAAAGCCAGGCTGTCCCTCACAATGCTGACTAGCACTCAGTCACGTAGGAGATCACACTGAAGCTTTAAATCCACATGGAGGCCCCACTCAGGTGGTTAAAACAGGGGAGAAGTGAGACCTGGAGTTAATTACAATGGAAATTAAATAATCACTGTGTTGGACATCCGGCCAAGGTGGAGGCATAGGTGGAAATACTGTACCTCCTTGTGCCACCAAAATTAAGGACAACAAACATTTAGAAACAAAAACACAACCAAAACAGACAGAAAATTGAACTATACCAAAGTCCGACAACAGCAAACAATTCATGCATATGATAAGAGGGGCACAGTCAGTGGCCAGAGGAGAGGGGTCCCGGCAGGAAAAGGCGGTAGTTAATGGACCAGGCGAGCACCAGATGAAAACCCAGTAAGACTCACGAGGCAGCTGGCTGACCTTGGACACACATTCACATGCAGATAACCCAGACAGGTTTAAAAACGGTCAGTGAGACAGACCATGTAACCCAGGGCCCCAGTGATGGGAAATAAAGCCTAAAAGCACTGATTGGAAAAACTTTCAGGGGCTGAGGTGCCGGGAGAGGCTCCCAGTCTCACAGGAGAGTTCTCTGGGGAGACCCACAGGGTTCTAGAACAAACACAAGCCCACCCACCTGAGAACCAGCACCAGAAGGACCCAATCTGCTTGTGGGAAGCAGCAGAGGGGACCAAAATCCGAGAGAGTGGAACAAACTCCATTGCTCCCCTTCTGACCCTGCCCCCAGTCACAACCCAGGGACTGGATAGACCCACTCTGGTGAACACATAAGCCTCCGCCCCTCATAAATAACAGGCGCAAACAGACCAAAACATTATGGCACAAGCAGAAGAACAGCTCAAAGCCCCAGAGCCAATACTTCTAAGTGACAAACAGATAGGCAACTTGTCAGATGCACAGTTCAAAACATTGGTGATCAGGATGCTCATAGAACTGGTTGATTTCAGTTGCAAATTACATGAAAAAATGAAGGTTACACTAAGTGAAATGAAGGGAAATGCACAGGGAACCAATAGTGATGGAAATAAAACGGACTAAAATCAATGGAGTGGACCAGAAGGAAGAAAGAAATGACCAAATAGAAAAGAATGAACAAATAAGAATTCAAAAAAAAAAAAAAAGAGGGAGGCTTAGGAACCTCCAGGACATCTTTAAACATTCCAACATCCGAATTATAGGGGTATCAGAAGGGGAAGAAGAGCAACAAGTGGAAAACTTATTTGAATAAATAATAAAGAAGAACTTCCCCAATCTGGCAAAGGAAATAGACTTCCAGGAAATCCAGGGAGCTCAGAGAGTCCCAAAGAAAATGCACCCAAGAAGGAACACACCAAGGCACATCATCATTACATTAGCCAAGATTAAAATGAAGGAGAGAATCCTAGAAGCAGCAAGAGATAAGGGGACAGTCACCTACAAAGGAGTTCCCATCAGAGTGTCAGCTGATTTCTCAAAAGAGACCTTACAGGCAAGAAGGGGCTGGAAAGAGGTATTCCAAGTCATGAAATCCAAAGACCTACATCCAAGATTGCTCTACCCAGCAAAGCTTTCATTTAGAATGGAAGGGCAGATAAAGTGCTTCTCAGATAAGGTAAAATTCAAGGAGTTCATCATCGCCAAGCCCTTATTACATGAAATGTTAAAGAGACTTATCTAAGAAAAAGAAGATAAAAAATATGAACAGTGAAAGGACAGCAAACTCACAGTTATTAACAACCACACCTAAAACAAAAGCAAACTAAAAGGACAGCTAGATCAGGAGCAGAGACACAGAAATGGAGATCACATAGAGGGTTAGCAACAGGGGAGTGGGAGGAGGAGAAGGGGGGAGAAGGTACAGAAAATAAGTAGCATAGACAGTGGGGAGAAAATAGGAGGAGGGCAAGTGTGGAAAATGTAGAAGCTAAAGAACTTGGGACACATGGACATGAATTAAAGGGAGGGAATGTAGGGGGAGGGGTGTGCAGGGTGAAGGGGAATGAAGGAGGGAAAGTGGGACAACTGTAATGACATCAATAAAATATTTTAAAAAAATCTGTGTGTGTGTGTGTGTGTGTGTGTGAGAGAGAGAGAGAGAGATTTATTGATCAGTAGATGTGCACTGGAATTGGTACCACATACAGGGATCCTCAGATAGAACCTGCAAGCAGAGGACCCTGAGCATATTAGAGGCCCCCAAAGTCCCCTGAGCTTCTGGACTCAGAGCTGTTGGCTGTGTCAGTGCATCTGGCAGCTGCAGGGAAGAGTCTCTCTGGTGATTCATAGAACACTGGTTATGGGACTTTCTACAGAGTCACTGGAGTTTAGTACAGGCAGTTCTCTGTGTCCAGAGGTGTCAAAGCATATGGTGTTCCCAAGGGAGCACCTTGAAGTCAGCTTCCAGCCATGAGAGGGCCATGCCCTGTGGGCCCAGACAGGACCCTCCCCTGCAGGGTACTCAGCAGGGAGCACAGAACCCATGAGCTCAGGGCTGCTTCCCTAGGAGAATGTGCAGAGGGAGCTGGGGAAGTATTTTCCTTGAGGGTTGGCATCTTCCCCTTTTCAAAAAACATATAAAATTAAAGTGGACTGGAGGTGACTCTGAATAGTTTATCCATCAGATCATTTACCAAACTCGATAAGACGTGAGAACCACAGTCAATGGGGGTATCTCTATGGCTTCCTTATATCTGAATTTTAAAAGCTGAGGACAGGGATGGTTTTATTAACTGCCTAGGGCTAGAATTTTAGAGACATACAGACCCAGCAGTAAAGCATGCAGGTATCAAAGCCAGTTTAGTCCAGGTGGTCTCTGAGTCACTCAAAGGTGGTTTCACAAAGAACATGTCCCGTGGGGGCTTGTTCCTCAGTGGGAGGAGCTATATCTGCACAGAGGTCAGGGATCTAGCAGGGGATATGTATCCAATAACATTGATTTGGACTTAAGCCCTCAATCTCCCAGTGAGCATGGTCTCTGTGTCTTCTACCTTTTCTCAAGTGGAATCAAATATCATCTATAAAGTTTCCTGCCTCATGACTATGCAAATGAGAAGAGGTATACTAGGTTTAATATGGGTCTGTCTGTGCCCTTAGAGCATCACCTACAACCTCACCCTCTGCTACAGAAGTCCTGACTGCACAGCCCTTTACCATGGACTGGAGCTGGAGAGCCCTCTTCCTGGTGGCAATGGCTACAGGTAAAGGGAACCCCATCCCAGGGTTGAGGAAGGGACCAGGGAAAGGAAAGGGGCTATTTTCACCCACTCATGCATCCTCTCCACAGGTGTATACACCCAGGTGCAGCTGGTGCATTCTGGGGCTAAGGTGAGGCGTCAGTGAAGGTCTCCTGCTAGGTTCTGGATACACCTTCACCAGCTACTGGATGCACTGGGTATGACAGGCCCCAGGACAAGAGCTTAAGTGGATGGGGTTGATTTACCCTAACAGTGGTAACACAGGTTACACACAGAAGTTCCAGGGAAGAGTCACCACAACTGCAGACAAGTCCTTGAGCACAGCCCTACATGGAGCTGAGCAGCCTCAGAGCCCAGGTCATGGCTGTGTATTGCTGTGCAAGAGACACAGGAGGGGAAGTCAGTGCGAGACCATACTCAAACCTCTGGGAGAGATTGGGGCTGGACTGAAGGGGGCACTCAGGTCCCACTGACCACAGAGAACAGATGCGTGGGCAGCTGTGGTTCTGGATAGGAATGAAGGGGCTTCTTCTTGGGAGCAGGGATTTCCTCTCAGAGCTCTCAGCTACATCCAGGGATACTTCTTCCTTCTTTGCGGCTCTGATTTCCCACATTCTCAGTTCAGACAGCAAAGGAAGAAGTGATACTGTCTGTCTGCAGATGAGATTCCACCCTGTACCTGGGACCTTTTCTATACCTGGGACCATGATCCTGTGTGTCCTTGTCCTTGGCAATGAATCACCCTGAGTGCTCTCGTTTTCCCTGTGGTTGGAAATGTTTCTCAAATCAGGGGTCCAGCCCTATCCAGGCCCCTGTCTGCTGTGCTCAGTCTCTCTGTCCCCCATTATGCACTCAATGTCCTCACACTTCTGCTTCCTTCTGATAGTCACACCTCATCCTACAAGGGTCTCAATCATCCCCCAGGACATCACCTCTCGTGTCTCTGTCTTACCTGACCCACTTTGCCCTCCTGCCCCTCATTTACCTGGTAGACGTAGAAACACACTGTCAGGTGTGTTTCTCTTTCAAAAATCACAGTATTGTTCCTCTGATTTACTTTCCTTTTGAAAAGGACACACAATTGTATTTATGTCCCAACTGAAGAATTCAGGATAATCTCCCAATTTGAACATCTTTAACTCAGCCATCCTTAACTTAATCACGTCTGCAGAGTCCTGTCATACAAGGGAACACTCACCAGTCCTAGCAGCAGGGATCTGGATGTTCTTGGGAATCAGGGTTCAGCCATTCTGGTTCCCTGAGGATCTGGGTCTCAGCTGCACCTCAGGAATCTGGGAACAGGCTTCCTTCCTGAGCTGCTTGAAGCATGGGAGAGTGTGAGTGTGTTCATGTGTGTGCACACATGTTATCTTATTGGGACGTGTTTGAGACTGTATTGTGTGTACTCCCTGCACATATGTATGATTTAAATCTCTGTTCTGAGTCTTCCATAGCTCACAGAACAAGGATCTTGAACATATCAGTGAGAACCAGGCCACAGGGAGAGTACAACCCACTGGAAAGCCTGTGTTTCCCTCTGTGTCAGGTGGGTGTGACCCCAAGGACAAGGGTGTGTCATGGACACAATATGCTTGAGAATCTTCTCCTTGACAGAGACTGATGTTTGAGGGTCTCAGATCATACATGTAAAGAGGCTGAAAGATGAGGTGTCCCTTAGTCAAAATCCTACTTGTTCTTAAGTGTCCTGTCCCAGGTGAGCTACACTAGTCAAGCTCAGCACTGGTGAAGCCCAGAGAGGAGCGGCAAGGGTGGGGTGCATGGGAGCTCATGATAGTGCACACCCCAACATTCCTTACAGAACAGAATCTTGACCGAGGGACATCTCCTGGATCCAGCTCTTCCTGCAGCTGAGCCCTGTGCCCAACTTGTGTGGAGTAGCTGACAGCATTCCAAAGGGTCATGTGCAGACATGAACAGATGAAAAAGAGGAAGGAGACAAACCTTATGAAATTTACTTATGATGACCGACAGATGAACTTACCTCTTGAATTCCTAATTAGACATACATCACAATCCACAGAGCACAGACCGTAATGGTGAAAATAAGGCTGAACTGCTGTGTCTGAACAGTTTCATAGAAAGTCAGATCCACCAGCTACAGGAAGAGGATGTTCTTTTAATTATTTATTCAGTCCGTAATCCATGGATGAATAAAAATGGTGCTCTTCATATCAGTTATAATTTTATTTTTTAGTTTCTATTAGTGATGGGCATTGAAGTTTCCCATAACAAAATATGTATAATTTTAATATGCTTACTCAACAGTCTATCTACATCTTCACCTAGGAAGATCTAGTCATAACTGAGTTTGTGCAGTGTCCTCAATGCTTGAACCTGGTTGTACCACAGTCCAGAAAATAAAAAACAAAAATGAGGCAATGAGTCAGCTGGACATTGAGCACCAAACCCCAAACCGCGCTGGAGGAACATGACTTAGGACCACTGTCTGCTTCTCTACAAAGTTCACACTTCTGTCTCCCAGTGATCTATACAGATGCTCCACCTACTCCAACACTGGGTCCTTGTGTTCTAGGGTCACACTTTCCTCTAAGTTCATGCTCTGATCACTGGAGTGGGAAAGGGTCAGATGGAACTCCCTGTATCCTGAATACAAGCCTTCTCTGGCCATAAGGGTTGAATTCTCTTGGTGAGTTCAATATTGGTGGTTCTTTAAGGAATCTCTCATTTTAAATCCATTTCCACTTATGACAATTTACTCTCCTAGATTGTGTAATCACCTCCTGATGCAGTTGTGTCCCTGGGGAGGGCACAGCACCAAATGTAGGAAGTAATTATTTTATTTTTCATATTACTATTTTTTGTCTTCACCACAGAGGAATTATTCATTTCTTTTAGAGAGGAAGGGAGGGGGAGGCACAGAGAGAGAGAGAGAGATTCCTGTACATGCCCAGACAGGGGATTAGATACAGCTGGGATAGAAGCTCCAACCTTCAGTTGCAGTATGATGAAACAACTGAGCCAAACTGTGCAAGAGTTGGGAGTAATTGTTAACGGAGAATTGCCCTTGGAGAAATTACAATGGGAACATGTTCCTCATGTCAGCATCCAAACCCAGAGCTTCCTATATAGTAATGGGACATACTAATAAGGCCCCTCTGCTCATGAAAAGCAACCCAGCCCGACCCTGCAGCTCTGGGACAAGAGCCCAGGTCAGAATTCCCAGGTGTTCCCATTCCCTGCTCAGGACAGAACAAAGGCCTCCCACCATGGAGTTTGGGCTCAGCTAGGTTTTCCTTGCTGCAATATTAACAGGTAATTTATGGAGAACAAGAGACACTGAGTATGTGAGTGGACATGACTGAGGGAAACAATGAATGTATGACAGTTTCCTGACCTGAGGTCTTTGTGTTTGCAGATGTCCAGTGTGAGGTTCAGCTGGTGGAGTCTGGGGGAGGCTTGGTGAAGCCTAGGGGGGTCTCTGAGACTCTCCTGTGCAGCCTCTGGATTCACCTTCAGTAGCAACTGGATGAACTAGGTCCTCCAGGCTCCATGGAAGGGGCTGGAGTGGGTCTCATACATTAGTTATAGTGGTGGTAGCACAAACTGCCAACTCTGTGAAGGGCTGATTCACCATCTCCAGAAACAATGGCAAGAATGAGCTCTACCTGCAAATGAACAACCTGAGAGCTGAGGACACAGCCGTTTATCATTGTGCGAAAAACACAGTGCGGGGAAGTCAGTGTGAGCCCAGACATAAACCTCCCTGGAGACAAGAGGGCTGGGCTGCAGGGGACACTCAGGACACCCAGGGGGCACTCAGGTCAGACTGAGCACAGGGAGCAGCTGCAGCAGCAATTTAAGGGCTGGTTTCCTGGCAGGTGTGGGGTTGACTTCCCTATGTAGAAGTTTCTCTCTGGGAGCCTCCCTCCCTTCATGCTTCTGTGCTGACCTCTCCAGCATCTGAGTTACAGAGGCTTGTCATCAGAGGAAAATGTTCTCACATGCCCCAAGTAAGAGTGTCACATACATTTCCTTACTCCTATTCTAATGAATCAACAATGAATCACCAAACCTTCTGAACTACATCAGCTGAATCCAACCAGAGGCTTTGCAGAACCCAAGAGTGCAGCAACTCCACATATCTCAGAGTTCAAGCTGGCCAGAGGACACATGCATGCTGTACAGTGGGCACCAGAGGCATGTGAACCCAACACCAAGGAGAAAAACTTTCTGGTGATGATCGTTGACTCCATGTCCATGACACCAACAACAGTTGACATCGTGAGGAGGTAGTGGGTCCCCCACTATTATTACTTGGTATAGATGTCTAGGGAGTCACACACAGAGGGACTATAAAAAAGTTTGTCACTTCATTGAGGAGTCTGTTGAGAACAGGTGTGGACTTTTCATTAACTTAGAAATGATTGATTGGATCATGTCAAGCAAGGGGTGGCTCAGGTTTTATTAATCCCTGACAAAGTCAGGAAGGGTCCTATTCACAGGATAGGTTTTTGTGGTTTCAATCTCCTACCTGCAGCAAACTACAGAGACTCCCCACTTTCTCTACCATGTGTCTGCAGGAGGAGCAAGAAGGGTGAATCTTAACATGTCAGCATCATATCTCAAACAATAGAGACTGACTGCTTTTCCACCGAATACCTAGGAAACATGAGTGAGAACACAGCTACTGACCATTATGGGTGGAAAACAAATTTAGCTCATAGAAAATGAGAATAATGGTTATATATAAACAATAATGGGAACAATAATAAATTATATGGATGTGTTCAATTTCTAGGGTTGAATCTGTCTACCTTGCAGAGGTTCAGCTTGTTCTAAAGGATTTGGTTCATCTCTCTGCTTCCAAAGATAAGAAGCTTTTACAGGATAATGCACATCCTCAGTTTGGGGAGGTCTGCTGGAGAAGCTTTGCAACTGGGTGGAATCATGATTTGATTCATTTGTTGTTGTCATGGTTGCTTGTGTTGCTCACATACTCTTATATTAAAACCTGTGGTCCATGTGATGGTGTTAGGAAGTGGGGCCTTGAGACAAATATCAGTCCTGGGGTAGAGCTCTCTTGAACAGTTTTAGGGCCTTTATAACAGAGGACTGATGAAGCTTCCTTAATACATCCACCCTGTGAAGTTACAGTAAATAACCATTACGAAGGTGTTCTTACCAGTCATCAAAAGTGCCAGCCTCTGTTCCTGGATTTTTCACATCTAGATCTGTGAGAAATAAATTTCTGTTGTTGGTACTTTGTTACAGCATCCAGAATGGATTAATATTGTAGTGTAACATGACCACAAGGACTGATGCCCTGGGGTCTCACTGCCATTTTATTGTGAAAAGTAGAGCATGCGTATCATTCCAGCCATGTGCAAGGGTAATTTCCCTCAGTTGTTTTCTTCCATAGGCAAAATTTTCTGGCTGAGGGTCATGGGAGGCTCCTAAACAGATGCAGCAGGAGGGCAGCATTAGAAGTGGGTGTAATCCATGAACAATTTTATTATTTATCACATCAGCATAGGACAAAATCCAGGTCCCAGTGGAGGTAAGATCCACCAATGCATGGTCCTCTTAGTCACCGCTTCACAGGGCCATGGCTGATGTGCTCAAAGGCATCACATTAACCTCACTCAGATGGAGCTTTGGCAGAAGGTTTCAGTGTTCACTTAGGTTTTATCAGTTTAACTATCTCAGCTTTCAATCTCCCCAGAAACTGTGTCTAATAAATGACGTGTGGCATTTGGATCAAAGCAGCATCTTACAGGATAATGACTGGTGTGCTGTGTGCTCATCTGGCATTTGAGGTGACAGTCAGTAAGCCACTGGGGGAGAAGAGGGTAGAGGCTGAGCACAGTGGGTGTCCACAGCAGTTAAAATGCTCTACATGGATTTGTCCCTTCTTCCTACTCTCTTTCTCCACAGTAATGGACTCTCGGTGCACAGACATAGAAATTAGCAATAACAACAAGAATAACTCTGCAGCATGTAGACTCACCAGCCTCATAAAACTCCCACTGTCACAACAAGAATGCTTGTCCCTCTGAGTCGAGTAGGGATCCTCACCTATGGATTTCTCTTCCCTGTCCCTAAGGAAAGGAGCACATGGAAATGGGGTGCTTCATGTGCTGATAAACCCAGACCGGCCACTGTTCCTGTCTCTCTGGGAGGGCAGCCACCCCCCAGGTCTCTGCAGTCTGCAGTCACTGCAGCAACCCAGAGGAAGCATCATGAAGTTTTCCCAAGCTGGGCACTTGATTGATGCTTTTACAGCTTAACTTTATGAAGAAAGTGGGGCTTAAGTGTGTGTCCCCCCCCTAAAAAGAGTCTGTTTTCTGCAGGTTTGTGATGTGAGGTGCAACTGATGGGATAAGGGGGTTGCTGAGAAAGCCTGGAAGTCTCTATAAGCCTCTCCTGTAAATGTAATGGATTCACTTTCAGTTACTAATATATAACCTGGATCCACCAGCTTCTAGGAAACAGACTGGAGTGGGTTAGGTTTTATTAGAAACAAAGCTACCAGTCACACAAGAGAATACATTGCATCTGCAAAAGGCAGATTCATCATTTCAGGAGCTGATTCCAGATGCACTGCCTATGTGCAAATGAACAGACAGAGCTGAGTACATGGCCTTGCATTACTACTGTAAGGGAGACATTGTGAGGGGAACTCATTGTGAGCCCAGACAAAACCTCTCTGCAGGCGGGGCTGTGACCATCAAGGGGAGCTGAGAGTCTCTGAACACAGGGACAACCACTGGATCAGTTGCAGAAGGAGGTTTTGACTGGTTTCCTGTTTGGTTTCTTCTCCCTGTAACAGTCCCACAGGCAGCCTCTCTGGATTCCTATTCTGTGCTCACCTCTGAATTCTCTGATTTAGAAGTATCTGTTGTAAAGAGAGACAACCCTCTCTCATGCACAAAAGACAGTTTTTCACACACACTTGTGTCCAATTCCAATGAATAACCAAACTTTTTGGCTCTCATCAGCTTTATCTAACCAGAGACTCTGTGGACCCAACAATGTGGCACAACACCACACAGCTCACTGTCCAAGCTGGCCAGCAGCAGGACACAGGCATGCTGGGTAGGGGTAACTAGAGTCATATGGCCCCAATGTCAGGGAACAAAGATGTCTGGTCTTGACAGTCTTTGAGTTGACATCATGCTCACAGCATCAGACATAGGTGACACCACACAGAGCAGAGGGACGCACACAGCTTGGTGTGAATGTTTAGGCTGTTAAGAAACACACATGAAAGTGACATGGAATGTGTATCACACACGTATTTGACATCCCTGGGAAGAATAGGAAGAGACCTTCAGCAAGGTAAACATGATTTGATAGAGTCAGGAAAGGAGATGGGCTCAGGGATTTTATTTTCTCAAGGTTGTAGAGCAGGGAAATCAGCTTACAAGGGTTCATGCATTTTCAGTTCTCCCAGTGATGTGTAAAGAGGAGATCCAGACTCTATAATCAGATTTCTTGTGTGGGGCAGAAGGAGAAGAGGCAGAAATGAGACTTCATTTGGCATTAGTCAAACAAAATAGTATAAAGTCTGCTATCCGTTTTACTTAAGAAACAAAAAATGAGCAAAATCTGGGATAAAGTTAATTATGTGTGAAAAGCACCCATGCCTACAGAAAATGAAAAGAGGATAATTATAGGAAAGCAATTGATGTTAATGATTATGGTGATGGTGATGGTGATGATGATGATGATCCTGTGGCCAGTGGTTTCCTCTCTTTCCTGCATTTGTTGAGAAATTTTATAAATGGAGTCCCAAGGATTACACAGCTTGCGTGAGTCATGATATCACCAGATGAGTAATGATCTAGAGCTAACTCCTCATTCCCTGGCCCTGTGACATTGTAACCACACATAACTGTGACACTATAAAATGTGAATGTGGGTAACATGGAATTCCCTTTCTATTCGTTTAAAATGACTTGTTCCTTGTTTTTCTTGTTCTCTAAACTGCAGAAGCTTTACTATTTCTATTTCTAACAAACACCTTTTTTCTAAGGTGATATAATCTATCTCTATCATGTGTTGTTCTTCCTTCTGGATCTATGCTAAAAAGACTTTAAACACATATATCCAGTAAACTCATGAAAATAAGGCTTATTTCTATATGTGATTCAAACTATGTCCAGAATCATCCCTTTACACAGTTCAAAAGAGTCTTCTCTAGACCCTATGCCTGCTGTAACCAATGAACATGAACAATGGAAGCTATTTTCTCAAGAGTTCTTTGTAAAAAAAAAAAGGTCTATTAAAATATGAATATGCTAGACTTTGTTAAAATTAAATAAATTTGTCCCAACTAACATCCCTTAAGCCAATAAATAGCCAGATGTGAACATTAAGAACATGTTTTCAAATCGCATATCTGATGGAAGAAAGTATTTATTTTACATTAAGAACATTAATTATTGTGTGGAAGAGCCCAGCTCCCTCTGAACACAGCAACCGTACCCAGAAACAGGGCCAATAAAGGCTGGGTGGATGGTTTCCTGTAAGGGCAATGGTTCTCTTTCATGCGAGCAAATCTATGCTAGGAATTCCCCTCATTTCCCTTCTTCTGAACTCCAACATCGCTAACAACACTAGACTGAGAAAACAGGTCAGTTAAGGCACTGCCATAATCATTTCAACAAATGTAGAATTCTGAACAGAACACAAATAACCAGTTTTTACATTTCCAGACTTTTATTCAATTAAATTTGTGATTATTTCTCATGTGACTACTTTGGCATATCTGCAATGTGTCCTGGACCTTTGGGAGGGAAGAGTTTGCACAGGAAACTTAGATATAATCACAAAACTTCCAACATTAAGAATTCAGGGTGTCCTACCTGCTTGTGTTGGGAGGGCATTACTCAAATCAGAGATACCATCAACTAAGAAACAAGCTATTGAGAATGACTGTCCCTTATTTCTGATATTTCTGTGAAGGTGATATTACTTGTGTAAAATTATAATAGTAATGTTTAGTAGTTATGGATACACTAGAATTTTGATATTCAGAAACTGTACACAAAATTTACCTTTTTAAATCTGATTAAAAGATGCATGAAAACTTAAAAATGTCACCCACTCTCCTAGTCCACCACTTCTTCTTATGCTCAGAAAGATGAGAATGCCTGTTAATATCATTCCATTGTGTCTGAAGAACCAGGCGATCCTCTATCTCTGGGACACATGCTGAGTAAGTTCAAAAGAAGATATGCCCCACAGAGGTTCCAGAATGACCAAGATGCCTGACCTCAGTTCCTCTCCACTTACACGGGAAAGGCTGCCCCACATGTGAGTTTCAATTTCAGCTCCATGGTAAATCCTTCCCTGGGTTGTGGAAATTCACAGCTCTTGATTCACATGAGTCTGAGGCTCACAAAAGCCTGAGTCTCTAGGGAAGGCAGAACTGTGGTCAATGGTCTAGAAAAAGATAAGACTGCTGGATCTCCTGAGCCAGGTGACAGCCCCCCAGGTTGAGTGTCTCAGATGTCAGACACAGCTTTATGGGGTATTGTGATTGCACATGACTGACAGAGAAGGATGCCCTTGTTCCCAGGTGTCCTATCCATGGTAGAGCTGAAGGAGTCAGGCCCAGGACTGGTGAATCCATTGCAGATCCTCTCCCTCACCTGCACAGTTTCAGGGGGCTCAGTCACCAGACTTAGCTACAGGATTTCGATCAACCAGTCCCCAGGGAAGAGGCTGGACTTGGTGGGGTAGTGGACAGGGAGCACAAGGTACAACTCAGTTTTTCAGGGGCAAATCTCCATCAGTGATGATATGTCCATGAGCCAGTTAGCCCTTCAGCTGAGCTTCCTGACCACCAAGGACATGGCCCTGTTTTATGGGGCAAGTGACACAGTGGATGGAAGTCAGCGGGAACCCTGCATTTCTGTGATAGTCTGGGATTGCCTCTTCATCTGACATCTGCTTCTGCATCTTCTCCAGAATTGGGGTTGGAACACTGACAGGACAGACAACTCAGCAGCAAATGGCAGCTCCAAGGACTTCCAGGCCATCAGTTCTCAGATCAGTGGTCAATCCTGACAGAGAAAAAAAATGTCTAGTTGTGTTGGTAATTATCACAGCAGCCTAGAAAAAGCACCTGTGGCTGCAGACACTGTGCAAACTTGGAGGGACTCCCACCTAAAGTAGCTTCAGATGTTGTGTGTGATAATGCCCACCTACCAAGTGATCAGATGGAGCACAGTTGTAACACGATTGAGGTCTTGCGAGAGCCAGTCAAGCATCTGTTTTGGGGATGAATTGGATTCTGAGAGACAGGACAGGAGCCTGGCTCAGGGTTTGTTGTCCTCACAGGGTGAAGACTGGTGAAGTTTCTCATGTTGGGCGGGAATTTTGGTGGATGGACTGTCCCACCAGGGACAAAGGAGCTATGACCAAGGCTTTATTATCAGCATGTCAAGATGAGGAATGACATAGATGAAGAGGATGAGGCCTGAATGCTCCCAGACATCCTGAAAAAAACTGTGTTTGGACATCAAAAACCACTTAGCAGTTGCAATAATAAGGGAACGGGAGCTCGTCATGCATTGTGTGAAGAGCAATCCAGGGTTATGAGCAAGTAGATAAGAACAGACAAGGGATTCGACAGGGATCTTGTTGAGACACCTTTAGTAGAAGTTTCCACTGTCTGAGATTTTTGTCTTTGCTTTAGAAGTCATGGGCCAACTGCCTCTTTCAGAGGATTGCAGCTTCTGGAGTGTCTGAGAGCCCTGACTTAGACCTCCTTCACTGGAGCCATTCTCAAAGGTATGGACTTCATACTTGCTCCGTGAGCTATGAGGTGTGGATCCAGGGGCACCTGTGGAGTTTTACTGTGGCATTTGTTAACACATTCAATAAGGTCTCACCTGTGAGGTTCATAAGCCATTTCCCCTGATTCCTCATTCAGTAGACTAATCCCAGTTTAGTGATTTTGTAAAAGATACAATCACTTTGCACTTCAGTTTTCCTCCTTCTGAAACCTTAACCCATCATGAGCTCCCAGTCCCCTTCCCAGGGCATCAGCCTCCTGATCTCCTTCCAGCCAGGTATCAGGTGAACTCAGGGACAGCAGATTCCTAGGTTACTGTATATGAAAAGGAAGCAGGTCAAGTCATTTGCAAACTTCTCAGAACACCTGTTGGCTCATAATCAGTGCCTGTGTCTCTCTGGAAGAAGGTGACTCCAGGGGCTCAGCATCCCATGTAGTCTAGGAAACTGGGAGGCTTCCTGAGACCTCTTCTGTGGGAAGGAGATGCCCTTCCCTGGGGGAAGTGAGACTAAAGGAAAAACTCAGTATGTCTAACAGATGTCTCGGCTGCAGGTGCTAACCTGAATGGCTCATTCCCTGAGACAGAGGTTGCACCTGCACTGCAACCCACAGGACCAGAAACCTCAGGCAGGTCAAGGAAAAGAGTATTATTTACTATGTAATTGTTTCTACATAAAAATATACATATTTTTAATGAAATTATGATTATCCAATTTGGCAACCATGAGTCTACATAATGTGTCTCATTGTGCTTGTGAGAATATTTGTATATTGTTGTAGATCACTGTGTGTGGTTTCAGAGACTGTAGCCCCATGAGAGCAGGACTTGAGAGAGGCCAGTAAGTCTCTCTAGAAAGCTGGGAAATGCAGGTAGCAGGCACAACCCAACACTAACACCAAGGGTTCCCGTGGAAAATCAGGTCTGAAATGTACATTGAATCCTTTGAAGCTTGCTCTGCCTTGCAATAGCCCTGTTGATATAAACCAGATATTTAAGTTCAAAGCATAAGGAGTGAACTCCCTGATTCATGAAATACACCTTTACAGCCATTTGATGTTAGCATGTCTCACAGGCCCTGACCTGAGATGATCTCTGTGTTTCTTCAATTGTTATGTATAGATAATGTAATTTTTTATGGCAATAGCCTTTTGGACATTGGTTGATAAGCTATGCATGTGTACTGTATCCTCCTGCACTTCCTGACCCTAATAATAGCCAAGTAGGAGAAGGGCTCAGGGTTTTTGCACTAGAGGGAATTTCCACTCCCTTTCCCTTCAGAACAACAGATTGTGTCCCAGACAAGTTATTCTCATCTGCAGCACCTGGGAGAGCTCCACTGGCCAGGATCTCCCACAGTGTATAATGTTAATCAATTTTACTAACGAATCGAATGACCCATGAGGTTAAAATAGTGTGAACAACTCAGCCAATCCAGATTTTATTTTAAACATAGAAAGAGAGCTGTCCATTGACATGGTTCAAAGGTGTCTCAATACCCATGCTGTCTCCTGCTTGAGAACTTCACCATCAAGTCCAAGAGAAGAAATGTGCTCATGACCCAGGAGAACATGGGACAGTGACCTCATTCCCTCCCAACTTTTAAGATCAGAGAGCCCCACATGAAAATTTCTCTTCAGATCCAGGTTAAATCCTCCCCTGGGCTGTGGAGCTCACAGCTCTCCCCTCACATGGGACAGACATCTCTGGGAATGGTGGAGATGAGTTACAGAAGAATATGAGACTGCTGGGTCTCCTTCTGTGCTTGGTGACAACCCCCCAGGGCTAGTGTCTCAATGTCAGACATAAATCTATAGGATGGTTGTGATTGCACATGACTGACAGGGACTGGTGCTCCTTGTCCCCAGGTGTCCATTTGTTGGGAACTGCTCTGCCTGGTTTCAAGAGTTGTAACTACCTCCCATGGCTAAGGTTGAGTGAGCAACCTCCAGAATGCAAGCCACAAAGAGACAAAGCTTGTCTCTGGTAGCAAACATTGCTTTTGCTTCATCCCCCTGCCCCCAATGCATGGTTGGATAGTCAGAGATGGGTACAACTCCTCAGAGGAGGGGCAACCTAACCCAGACATGATCACTTGGGAGACCATCATGGAAGGACTCGGGGGGCTGCAACAAAGAGGAAGTGATGGACCCTCACCCCCTTGGGTATTCTGACATAGCCCGAGTCCCCATGTCCTCTGGGAAAAGCGCTTCCTGCTCTAATCCACTTAAGCCTGAAAACCTGTGATGGGGGAGGTGGTGCAGCTTCTTGCCAGCTAGAGCGGGACCCAGGGTAGTCAGGCATAAGAAAAAATTCCTAAAAGTCCCATGAAACCTGCTTTGCTAGGAGTGCTTTCATTCATATGTTAAGGGTCCGAGCAGGAAATGAGTATGTCTCCCAACGTTTCTGCAAAACCCCCTTTCCTGACAGACACTGACTCAGACTAAGCCCTCAGATTTCTTTGATATGTTATCTACTGTTTGATCCTTGCCACCTGTATTCCTCTGTATTACAACCCATTAAAAGTTATTGAGGAAGGGGCTCCAGACCTTTTTCCTCTGAGAGATTGGCCACTTCTCCTCCACAAGCAGATAATGTCTTGGTAGTGTTACTTTCATCCGTGGTGGATGAGGAGTCTTTCGGGCAAAGTCGCCCCCACATCCACTCTCAGGTGCAGTTGCAGGAATCAGGCCCAGGACTGGTGAATCCCTCTTGGACCATCTTCCTCAGCTGCACTATCTCTGGTTACTAGATCACCACTGGTCACTGCTGTAACTGGATCCATCAGGCCCCAGGGAATGGACTGAAGTGGATAGGGTACATATGTAATGATGGAAGCACTTCCTACAGCCCATCCGGATCTTGAGAGATCTGCACCTCCATCTCCAGAGACACATCCAAGAACTAGTGCTCCATGCAGCTGAGCTCCACAACCATTGAGGACACAGCTGTGTATTACTGTGTAAGAGACAGAGTGAGAAGAAAGTGTCAGCCCAGACACAAACCTCTTGTCAGGAGACAGGAGGAGTGGCTATATGGTGGACCCAGGACACCAGGGAGTATTCAAGACAAGAGTAGGGACAGTGGAAAACTACACTTACACTGCTCCACAGATGCTGACACTGGTCCACAGACTTTGATACACCAGGATCACTTTTTCTGCCTATGCTGTTCCTGCATCAGCACCTGCTTCTGCTCCTGGGGAGACACCCATCCATGTTCCCCATGGTACTAATCTTAGGGCTTCTTGCTCTGTGCTTTGAGAATGGGGACCTGTAGCTATACGTCAGAGAGACACCCCACAGTTCATATCAGTGTTGGCTACACTGACTGGAAAAGGGTACCTTGGTCTGACCTTCTCCAAGACAAGCCAGTACATTCTTACCATAGTCTCTGAAATTTGCAGGTGCTGGGAGAAAACAAATCCACAAGGGTCGACACTCTCTGGTCTTCATGTCAACCATGCTTGCTTTTGTTTTGTCATCAAAGTTGGTCACTCATTCGGTTCCAGTCAGTATGTTGATCCTGCCCATGTGCTAGGAACAGGGGACAGGGGAGACCTGGGTTCATTACTACAAATACCACCAGTGTGTGTGTGTGTGTGTGTGTGTGTGTGTGTGTGTGTGTGTGTGTGTGTTTGTGTATGATTTATTGAGCAGTAGAAATGCATGTGACAGTAGGGCCACATGCAGGGATACTCAGAGGGGACCTGCAAGCAGAAGAACCTGAAAACCTCAGAGTCCCCCAAAGCTCCTGAGAGCTTCAGGACTCACCAAGGTCAGCTAAGCCAGTGCATCTGGCAGTTGCAGCCATTGGGCTCCCTGGTGCCTACACAGTGCACTGGGCAGAGAATTCCTGCAGAGTCATGGATCCAGTCGGGTCATTCTCTTTACCCTAAGATGTCTAAACACATATTGTCCCTGAGAGAGTGTCCTAAGTCAAGACTTAGCCTTTAATTCTGCACTAGAGCCACTAACAGGTCCATGTCCTATGAGTCAAGTCAAAAGCCTCTCCTGCAGGGCTTGGGCTGGGCAGCAGGGGGTTCAAAGGACCCACAACCTCAGCCTTTGGTTTCAGATGCAAGAGTGAGGGAGTTGGGGAGGGATTTTCTCTGAGGGTCTGGGTCTTCCTCTTTTCATAAAAAGCATCTCAAATAAGGATTGGACATGAGATGACTGTAAACACGCTATTTCATCAGAGAATTTAACACACTAAGACAAGAGAATCACAGTCAGTGAGTGTATTCCTGGGGCTTCTTTATATCTGAATGTTAAGGAGCCAGAGACAGGGATGTTTTTTACAATTTATTCAGTCCTGCACTTTGAAGACATGCTGATCCAAGGAATAAAACCTACAGGTATTAAAGCCCAGACCTGGTCCAGGTGGTCTCTGAGTCACTCAAAGGTAGGTTTTCAGTGAGGAGCATATCCTGTGGGGGCTTATACCTCAATGGGAGGAGCTATGTCTGCACAGAACTCACAGACCTGGCAGGGGACTTATACCAGGTAACACTGATTAGGACTAGTACCATGAGTCTCCTTTGAGCATGATCTGTCCTCTACCCTCTGCCAGGTGGAGTCATATAATCAGTTATCATATGATCTGCCTGATGACTATGCAAACGAGAATAGGTAGACAATGTTAACTGTGGGTCTGTCTGTGCCCTGAGAGCATCACCCACAGCCACACCCTCCCCTGTGAAACAGTCCCTAACTATGGACTTGACCTTCAGAGCCCTCTTCCTGGTCAACAGTGACTACAGATTGGGAGCCCCAAAGGAAATGAGTTGAGAAGGAGACCAGGGACAGTCAAAGTGGATTTCCACCCACCACATCCTGCTCCCCGCAGGTGTACACTCCCAGGTGCATCTGGTGCAGTCTGGGGCTGGGTTGAAAAAGCTGGGGCCTCAGTGAGGGTCTCTGGCAATGCTTCTGGATACACGTTCATGAGCTATGCTATGTTCTGGGTATGACAGTCCCAGGGGCAGTTCTGCAATACTTGGGCTAGATCAACACAAACCCATGTATGCCCACTGTTTCTCAGAACTACTTTTCTTCTCCATGAACACTTCTGTTGGCAATGCCTATCTGCAGATTAGTACCTGGATGTGCAAGGATACAACCGCATATTACAGTGCAAGAGTGTCAGTGTGATGACCCTGAGAAGTGGAACAGCTGCACTGTGCTGAGAAGATGATAGGGCAATTATCCTCATGACTTCCTCACATGCAGTCATGGATCAGAAACAGAACTGATGCAGCCACAGGCACATCAGGAATTCAGGGGAAGTTTCAAGGAACCAAATGCACTGCAAGGAAGAGTCAAGAAAGATGCTCCTTAAAGGACCTTTGATATTTACTGTGCATGGGGACACATTGGGATCTTCCATGTCCTCTGAATGAGAAATGTTCATGGAGGCCTCATCTGGGTATCTTGGTCAGGGTCAGGTTTAATGATTTTGACCGTATTGACTCCCCAGCATGTTCTAAGACACCCCCATTTCTGAACAATGGAAGTGTGCTTGGTGAAAAGTACATGAATGCCAAGCAGGAATTTCTATGCCCTTGTCTCTGGAAAATCATCACAGGGATGACATTCAAGGAGTGAAGTTGAGGGTTGACAGGTGTTCCAGGTTCCACCACAATCTACAATATCATGGTGTTCTAATATTCTTCAATCACGTAGAGTTCCTAAGGAGTCTCCTTACCTGAGACCACAGCCTCGTGAGTGTCCCTGCCCCTGGGCAGTACTAGTCATCATACAGCAGGAAACAGGGTGGGGACATGCTCGACAATGGGAGGCCCACATCCAACCTGTTCCATGTTCCTATGGCAATAGAATTAATTCTCACATAGCTAGGGATGCCATTTCTACACATTTATTCATGTACAAACTGCAGGATGGATCATGGAATTCTTTCACTGGACTGAGGTTAAGGTGGTAGAAAGATCACCTTTTTTTCCAGAGGCTCAGGCAGTGATCTCTTCTGAAAACATGGGTTTCCCCAGTTTATGTTTAATTCCTCAATCTCAAGGAGGATACTATTAAAAATGGACTATTTGGAGATGTTTAGGTCATGACAGTGCTCAAAAAAAGCAGTTATTGCTTTTCTCAATAAGCTCAGAGAACTTGCTGATGCTTCCACAACATGATGACCTGAAAAGAAGCTGTCTGATGTGAACCAGGAAGGGAGCCCTCACCATAATGCACAATAGTGATGAAACCAAAGGCAACTCTTACTACCCACAATTCCAACAGCCAATGCTCGAGAGTCAGAGGTTGATGTAAAGGAGAATGGTTTGGTTCAGGTGCTGGCCTGCAAGAGGATGAGAGACTCTCATATCAAAGCCCATTAACATCTCAGTGCACTGAGGTTTTTTTTATAAGGGAGAGTGACAAAAAGAACAGAGAGTTCAAGGGGAGTGGCTGTGGACGTTCAGGCAGTGTCCTTTCTGGTCCCGATACAGATCGTTGTCACAATTCTGGAACTGGTTGGTGCCAACTAAATTTTTGCCGTTGGGCCACTTGTGTCACCTGAAACTGTGGTCAAGGTGGTTTGTTCTGCAAGCAGGACTAGAACTGGTAGCACATGCAGTATGCTAACAAAGATACTGTCAGTATGAGATACTGTTTAAACTTAGTACTTCTAACTCCATTTCATAGTAAGTCTCAGCAGTATAAAGTTTTATTTCATGTTTCAATTTTCCTGTGCCATTTTCTTCCTCCATATCAATGGGTCTATTGGTGTCCTGTGAATCTTCTGGGGGAATTAAAAACATGAGCCTGTTGGAAAGCAAAATCTTGTGAGTTAAAAGCAGGTTTATTTTTTTAGAGGTCCTTGCCTAGCAGATTCTATCTCCCTGGCATGGGAAAAGCAAGTCATAAAGCACTTCAAAACAATAAACATAGGCATTATGGAGCAAAGAATATTCAATCTAATTAAAAATCCCTTCTCTAAGGATGTGAGTCCCTGCAGTATTCATGAAAATAGACTCATAAACCAATCTCATGTTCCTTCAAAGAGACAGGTGTGGTAGCCAAATGTTTGTTGATTCCAGGGGGCCTGTCACCTAATTTAGGTGATGCTTGTTTCCATCTGAGCTGAAGTGCCAATGTAAGAATAACAAGAGGAATGATGGTCTTGCAAACTTCTCCTTGTTCTGGTAGTATGCAGTCTAAGCAATTTAATTATCTAAGACAACTGTAGCTAGAGAGTCCAGAGGTTTCTGAATATTAGGAAGTGAGATGCCCATTTTATTGGATACAGTGGTTTAAGTCTTGGAGAGATTCTAAAGTACATACTGATGTGCAGCTGCTCCCGAGCAGGGTAATACAGTACATCTAAAGAAATATTCATCATCTTGTATTTCTCCAGGGAGATCTCAGGCCATTTGTGTGCATGTTGATTGATCATTTTGTGGTCTCATCTGCCCACACAGTTTTAGTTACTTGCTTATAGATCTCAGTCAGGAGCTGGTCCCCTCTCCCTTCCCTGAAGTTGCACCTGGAGTTTGGTTACATACTACAGTGGGACCTGGGAGAAAGCTGTTTCCTTTTAAAATAAAAAACTTCTTAGGTCAGCAATTTACAGATCAAGACCAGTTCCAGCAAAAGGATGGGGCATTCATCTTAATAGAGAAAGCAGTGTGATAACTTTAATCTCTGAGTTGACATTTTAATAGCCTGAGATATGCTTCTTGCTGTATTTGTCTTGTTACCCCAATGACCAAGACTGAGTTTTTTGGTCAATTTGGTGTTTTATACAGAGTTCATGGGTCCCAGGTCTATGTTTGGCTCCTGTGGAGAAATAATGATGGTTTTAGAGGTGTCTACAGGAGCCTGTTGGCCCTCACATCCATTATTCTAATCAACATGCCAGTTCACCATCTGCCTATGTGCCACTTTTTCCTCACTTGTCTTCACATGGCTGCTTCCAGGCACCTGAGTTTTCTGTCTTGGGGATCATTGGTACCTGGCCTCTCATTCTTGCTCTGATTTTGTCTAACTGCCTACACTATTTCCCACTCAAGAATTTTGCCTCTGAGTCCTTTTAGGGGAAAATGGTGCCAGACTATTCCTGCAACTGCTTCCTGCTGTGGAGGACTATCATTGTCCTTCAGAACCAAGAGATCCTTGCTTTCAGTAAGAGGGGAGATGAAGCCTGAACACAGACAAGGATGGAGATGGTGCCTGGAGGTGGTTCTCCTTGAGTCAGAATAGGGCTAGTAACCTGAAGGAGTCAAATTGCTTTACTAATCTCATTATTACTGAAGCCAGAAAAAGTTAGGATCCAATTCTATTTGTAAGTTTTAAAAATGAAAACAACTTAGTGAACTAGAGTTTAATTTCCATAACTGTGTAGTAGAGTATACTGAAAATTAATTTCTCTACGTAGAATCATACTTCACTTTTATCAAAAATCCAAATTAAGACTAATTCATTTATAGCATTAAGTTCAGTTTTGATCTGGCCTGGTTATTTGCAAAACATAACAAGAATACCAACTGATCATGTAGGGTCTATTTAATGTGCTTTGCTGATATCTTATAAGAAATTGCCAGAATGAGATTTAGTTACACCATGAAGCAAAGGAGTCAAACCCCCTGGTTGCTATTAGGTTTTACCTGCAATACCTGTAACTTTGAGTGAGTTCCTTAAGTTCTTGAGGTTTTCCAAAATGTCCTGAGCTCTCTCCTGCCATCTCCCAGGAAAGCAACCCTCACTCCTTGCCTGGAAAGACTGCCATGAACCTTCTGAATAAGGAAGGTGCCAGGCCCTTTCTCCAAGTTACTTTTATTAGCTTCAGGGTATTTCTACATGCCTTAAAGCTTTTGCTGACATCCAGAGTCTAGCCATGTCTCTCAGACATGACATTCCAGCAAAATTCTTGGCTAATAAAACCACATTTGGAAAAATGGCTTTATGTGTCCTGTTATGAGTAAATCAGGTTCCTGCTTGATTTATTAAAACAAATGTATTGCAATGGAAATAATAACAATCATTCATTAAGTTTGTCCAAATTCCAGAGGGGTCAAACAAGAACAAAATATATAAATGCCTTAATATTGCTTCTTAAAGTATAATTTACCAAACTGCTTTAAGAAAAATGCAAGGCTTCCTATATCTAAAAAAAAAATGATTACAAATTAACAATAGTTTAAACAAAGTTACAAAGCTAAAATAATCTTCAGTTCATTCTGTTCCATAATAAAATTTGTTTATGCTGATTATTTTTCAGTATTTCTATAAATCCAGTTATTCCATAGAGTTCCAATAATCTTTATCCTGTTAAAAATATGATGTGAAAATTTATTCTCAGAAATACAGAATATAGACTAAGTCAGAGTCCTTTCCGTGATTTTCTCTGAAGATGTAACATATTTGGAAATGCATCAGGATGAGACAATGTCTGTCCCTATATGACAGAAAAGAAAACTTAAAATGACCTGGATATAGATCTGATTATAATGTGATTGACAAAGAAATTTGCTTTTCTTAAACTACATTTTAAGATATTTTAAAATGACAAATGAAAGTATATCAGAACTTTATAACCTCTCGGAGATTTTCATATTCTCTAAACATTCATTTTAATTATATAAAATACATGTGTTAGAACATAGTTATTATTCCCTTATTTGATGAAACTTCCCATGCACTAGAAGCATATCAAATAGGCCTCATTTATTCGAAAATTTTTATTTATGAGAAGAAAGTACAAATCAATGTGGAATTCCAGAAACCCACTGGAATGACCTAAAGTCTATTTTAGGTCAAGAAATTTTTTTTAAATTAAACCATGTGAAGTTTCTCATACTTGATCAAAATATGATATATCATCATGAGAAAACAATAAATCATTGGTTATTTATTTACACAAAGTAGCAATAAAGGTATGAAACATAAATACAGGCTAGCACAACTCTATGTCTTACAATAAATAATATGTGTTTTTTTCTGCCCTGGCTGGTGTGCCTCAGTGGCTTGAGTACCAGATTATGAGCAAAGGGTTGATGGTTTGATTTCCAGTCCGGGCACATGCCTGCGTTGCAGGCCAGGCGGCCAGTAGGGGGCACTCGAGGGGCAACCACATAGTGATGTTTCTCTCCCTACCTTTTTCCCTCCCTTCCCATCTCTTTAAAATAAATAATCCTAAAACATCAATTTCAAAGAACCTATGCACCACAATGTTCATAGCAGCATAATTTACAATAGCCAAGAGTTGGAAGCAACCTAGGTGCCCGTCAGTAAACGAATGGATCAAAAAACTGTGGTACATATACACAATGGAATTCTATGCAGCAGAGAGAAAGAAGGAGCTACTACCTTTTGCAACAACATGGATGGAACTGGAAAGCATTATGCTGAGTGAAATAGGCCAGGCATTGAAGGACAAATACCATATGATCTCACCTTTGACAGGAAGCTAAAGAATAAAACAAACAAGCAAACAGAATAAAAACAAAGACGCTGAAATAGAGAACAAGTGGGCAGTGACCAGAGGGGAGAGGGAAGGGAACTTAAGGGGAAAAAGGGGGAGGGATTTTGAGGAACAAGTATGAAAGACACAGAGATGAGGACTGGGGGGGGGGAAAGGGAGGGAGGGGGAGACATGGTGGGGGGGGTGGGATGGGAGAAATAGATAAAAAAAATGTACTTGAAAAGTAACTAAATAAAATTTAATATTAATAAAAATAATCCTAAAACATCAATTTCAAAGAACCTATGCACCACAATGTTCATAGCAGCACAATTTACAATAGCCAAGAGTTGGAAGCAACCTAGGTGCCCGTCAGTAAACGAATGGATCAAAAAACTGTGGTACATATACACAATGGAATTCTATGCAGCAGAGAGAAAGAAGGAGCTACTACCCTTTGCAACAACATGGATGGAACTGGAAAGCATTATGCTGAGTGAAATAGGCCAGGCATTGAAGGACAAATACCATATGATCTCACCTTTGACAGGAAGCTAAAGAATAAAACAAACAAGCAAACAGAATAAAAACAAAGACACTGAAACAGAGAACAAGTGGGCAGTGACCAGAGGGGAGAGGGAAGGGAACTTAAGGGGAAAAAGGGGGAGGGATTTTGAGGAACAAGTATGAAATACACAGGGATGAGGACTGGGGGTGGGGAATGGGAGGGAGGGGGGAGACCGGGCGGGGGGTGGGTGGGTTGGGAGAAATAGATTAAAAAAATGTACTTGAAAAGTAACTAAATAAAATTTAATTTAAAAAAATAAAATAAATAAAATCTATTTTAAAAAGGATATGCATTTTAAGTAACCAAGTACCTGATTAGCATAACACATAACTCCTTCCCCCCCCCCTTGGAAACTTCTTTTTTTAAATTTAATTTAATTTAATTTTTTAAATTAATTTTATTTAGTTATTTTTCAAGTACAGTTTTTTGTCTATTTTTCCCATCCCAGCCTCCCCCGCCCCTTGCTCCCCACCTCCCTCCCATTTCCACCCCCCTTAGTTCTCGTCCCTGTGTCCTTCCTATTTGTTCCTCCAAATCCCTCCCCCTTTTCCCCCTTAACTTCCCTTCCTTCTCCCCTCTGGTCACTATCCCCTTGTTCTCTATTTCAGTGTCTTTTTTTTCTGCTTGCTTGTTTGTTTTGTTGTTTAGTTTCCTGTTAAAGGTGAGATCATATGGTATTTGTCTTTCAGCACCTGGCCTATTTCACTCAGCATAATGCTTTCCAGTTCCATCCATGTTGTTGCAAAGGGTAGTAGCTCCTTCTTTCTCCCTGCTGCATAGAATTTCATTGTGTATAACACATAACTCCTTTCAAGAAGTATAAAATCTTCTGATTCTAAGCAAAAACAGAATTTTCCCCATTTAACAGCATGAAAAAGAACCAAAGGTATACTTTTTTTAGCTACTATTGATATTTAAATTTATTTGCCTAATTGAATTCATGATTCAGATGAAGTATATAATTTCCACTCAAGATATCATTTACAAGCCTTTAATTTTCACAAACTCTCTGTGTTGTGCAGTCTTTCTCCAATGGCCACAGTCCCTGTTATTTAGCATTTTAAAATTCATTCAAAAACAACTAACTTTAGAACAAATTATTTTCTTCTATTTCTTCAAGTGTTTTCATATATTATACCTTGTATTACCCAATCATACAATTCCTTTTTAACTAAATTGGAATACTTAATTCTTAGAAACTGTGAATTTTATTGACAATTTATATGATTAGAATCATTTATGTTGAAACATTTATGATCACTACATTATTTTTAGAAATGGGTTTTTCCCCATTGGCCAAAACATTCATATTTTCAACACACATATTTCAAATGAAGGACAAGATATATTCGTTAACAGGTCCAGATCCACTCTCCTGCTTCTCTGCAGTAAGAAGCCCATGTAGTGTAGGTTTGGTTGTCTGGTGACACTGCTTTGTTAAACAACATCTATGCAAAGCACACAGGACACAGTGAGAGCTGTGAACGGGAAACGAAGTTATTATGTAACAGGCACCACGTCATTTTGGGAAAGTGAAGATTTCTGCATCTGGGTGATGATGATGGTTACCCAATGGTGTCAATGTATTTAAGGACACCGTGTGTCCATTTAAAATTGACTAGCACCGTGAATGTTAGTGAATGCATGTTTTACCACAGACATCACACCAGCGCTAATGAGAGGTGTGCATGTGTTTTCCATGAGAGGTGATGCCTCCTGACCCTGCAGGGCTCGAATAGAGTTAGGACTGTAGGCAGGGGAGGGTACAGAAGGCCATTCTAAGGAGCTCACTTTGGAACAAGAACCTCAGAAGGGGGTGTGACTGGCACAGGGGAGTCACTAGAAAAATGAAATCTTGGAAGAGGAGAGTCTGGTCCAGGATTCTGGGACACCAGGTCCCTGAGCTGAGAGCATGTGTAGGGTAAATGGAGGCAGTCTGGATTATTCACCCAGATGTCTGAAAACCTAAGGGAAGCAGTTTCTCCTAAACTTGAGAATGGGCCTGATAAGTAATGTTCTCATAACCCTGAGAACAATAAATGGTTTCCATGGCCTCGAGTGGGCTTGCATGCAGAGAATGAAGCTCTGTTGTGTAATCTGTTGGCTTCCAGTTGCCTTTGTCTAAATTTTAGTATATAGGGAAGATGGGACTTCCCACTGGGAACACAGAGAGAGGGAAGGAGACACACAGGTGATATTCAGGGACATGCAGGGAGACACACAGCTGGTAGAGCGCATGGATTGCCAACCCTTCAGTAAATGCTCATATGATATCTGAATGGCTCCAGGAATGTTCTTCTGAGTGTCCAAATCCCATGAACCTATTTTACATTGAAGGGTTGCAACACAGCATGTGTTAGATGTATGTGTGGGGACAAAGAGAGTGGGTGAGCCATGTCCTGAGAGGGTGCAGAACATTTTGAGGACACGGCTCTTCAAGGGAGATATGGAGTATATGGTGTGACATTAGCTCCCAGCACTCTCTGACTCCAGGTTCACAAGGACAAAGGTGGAGATGTACATTCGTCCACTATGCTCATCAGGACCATGCTGCACAATATGGACCTTCCCTTCTCAGGAAACACTTTGTCCCCATGAATTGTCATTGCTCAATGCCCCTGTGTCAGGTACCCAACACTTCCCTCTGCTCTCACCTGATATGGTGGTGAGAAAATGACAAGACCTTTAACTGGTTCCTCTTATCTGAGGTCACAGTCTCTAAAGCTCCTTGAAAACTGGGACAAAGAGATGCCCAAGTGTCACCTGGAATGTGTCTCTTGGCAGCATTACAGGAACAGGTGAAGGAGAGGAGGACATGTCCAGTCTGAGGGAACCCAGGGCTAGGTCAAGTCACAAATCACTGGACTGGCCATGGCCATGGGGGAAGGCTCAGTATCCTCCCTCACATTGGTGGAGGGGACAGGAATGGGTTACAGAGCACAGTTTTCCCCTGGAGCAACGGTGAGCTCTCACTGAAGGAGTTGTTCTCACTGATTCTCTCCCGAGGGATCCACCTTGCTGTCTTCATGCTGGTCACTATTGGTCAGTGCCAAGGGCTCCTCACAGCTGTCCCCCAGCACCTGAAAGGCATCGGTGCCATCGTCAGCACAGATCTCACCTTGGTTCCATGTAGCTGCACCAACCCTCACTCTCAGCTCTCTTGTCAACAAAGGAGCAA